GAGAGAGAGAGAGAGAGAGAGAGAGAGAGAGAGAGAGAGAGAGAGAGAGAGAGAGAGAGAGAGAGAGAGAGAGAGAGAGAGAGACTGCTTAAATAATTGCCAATGTGTTACTATGGGCATTTCAGTATAATACAGTCCAGTTCCATCTGTGGCAGCAGGTGGCACATTGGGCTGTCTGCTGAGCAACAGAGCAGCACCAAAGGTAGCTCGACAGTTGGTGCTATTCTTATGGTATGCTCATATTTGCCGTGCTCTCTTTGGTGCTGCTGCTCCTGATAGCCACGCTTGCACCAGCGGAACATAGGGAGTTATAAGAAACACACATTGAGCAATCTTGCACTGCTGCTGTTGACAATGATGATAATGATATTTAAAACTCATAGTGGGGTAGAAGCCGTGACAAGAGGAAGTCAGAGTAGTAGAATGACATCGAGTTAGGATAGGATTAGAATGAAATGGGCTTAGGACTAGGAGGTAAATGATGGTGAATGGTAAAAGGGATGCAGAATCCTGACTCAAGATTTTCTTCCATGTGCAGGTCGGTGGGAGGTGCACAGGTTGACATCCGGCCACAAACATCTAGACGGAGGACAACGAGGAAGAACAAGAGCAGCACAGGGACGAAGCCGCAAAGTACATTGTGGTCATCGAAGAGCGCTAGTGGAAGAGAAGATAGGCTGAAACTTCCTAGTAGGCGCTGCCTGCGTTTGATGAGAGATGTGTATGAAGTGCGCTGCCTTCCAGGGGCAGCATCTGTTCCTTTTGCAGACACTGACGCCAGCATTGGCATTGGTGTGGACAGCGAGGTGGCCATGGATGTGAAAGGCGGAGGGGATGGTGAGCAGAGGGTTGATTCCACAGCCACCGCTGCCGACGGCGCCGCTGTCACGACTTTGCCGGAAGAGTGCTTCAGGAAGGAGAGCACTGCAGGGGCTTGTCAAGCCTCCCCCATCTCCCTGACAGGTTCTTCTAGTCCCATGGGCGCAGCATCCGTGGTCCTTGTGAAGAATGGAATAAAACTGGATTGCACTTTCGCATCAGCAGCCGATCTTTTGCGGTCACTTCCTAATCATGCCTACACGACAACTCGTACGACTAAGGAGGGAACTTTACTCATGTGTTGGGATCGGCACATGTTGCGCCTATTCGACTCGAGGAATCGCCTTCATCTCAGTCAATGCACAGGATCCGCATTATCGTCTATGGGCACAAATGTTGCTGCCAATGATGAGAAGAATGCAAAGGAGGAGGAGGAGGAGGAGGAAGATTTTGCCTGTTTCAAGTCGAAAGTCGAAGCTTCAGTGCACGTGGCTATGGAGGAAGCATTACTTACCAAACGAGAGGGAGAAGGCGAAGAACTCAATGTGGTGATACTTGCTGGTATTGGAGAGAAGAAAGGGGATGTGTATGTAAACGTGGCCCCTTTGCGGCTTCTGAAGGAAGATGTGGCCTCGCTTCCAGCACCTGTCGAGGTTGCGGTTATGGGTCCGGCTCGTACTCTGCCTGATGTCAAGTACACAGATTGGGTAAAGATCAGGCGGAGTCTTGAGAAAAACAAACCAGCTTCAGTGTCCGAAGTCATTCTGTCAAATGATGGTCGAACTTTACTTGAAGGCATGGTCACCAATTTCTTCGTAATTAAACGACGAAGACAGCGGTCCGAGAATTCCCAGGAGGTGAGCATTGTGATGAGAGATGATGATGGTGATGATAATGCTCGTGACGAGAAGCATGGTTATGGTGGCAACGGTCATGACAGTGATATCGGTGGCAGTGGTGAGAAAACTGGTCGGTCGTCTTCTTCTTTTCCTCCTTCCACCACCTCCTCCTCCTCCTCCTACTCAGGGTCTCTGTCGGTTACGACAGAGCCATGTGGGGTGTCGATAACAGACATAGAACTCCAAACTGCCACTCTTGTCGAAGGAGTGTTGCCTGGAATCATAAGGTCTTTAATTTTGGACATTTGTGCGGAGAGAGGTATATCCGTTCGGGAAACAGCACCGTCTCTGGATGATCGAGCAGAATGGATGGGTGGCTTTCTGACGAATAGCCTCCATCCTTTGCGTCCCATCTCCTCCATCTACCTGACCTCTGAAAGCACCTGGTCAACGGCTATGGATTCATGGTCTTCCGCTGCAACAACCCAATCCTCGTCTTCCTCCTCGTCCTTAGCATCATGGAGCCGATACGAGCTTCCGGCAGCTCATGCAAATTTTACCAAAGCCATCGCGAAGCTGGTTTGGGAGCGTGCACTGCAAGAAAGCATACATGTGAAGGCCTTGCTATCTTCCTGACAAACAATTTAAAGGCTAAACGCTAAAAGCCTTGCTCTCGTCCCAAACAATCAAGCTATAAAGGAAACAGCTTGGGAACCGACAGACTGTAAATCAATTCCTTTGAAACACATGCTAAATAGTCCTCTTCGTAATGACCTGCAAATCAATTCCTTTGAAACACAGTCTCAGAACTCTGCCGTTTTCTGAGTTTTGCCGCTGCATTGTGTGACTTGATGAGATTCCCGCATTCTGCTGTGATTTGTAAGTCCATGTGTGTGTGCATGCTTGCTGAGTTTCCATGTGTTTGTCTGATTGCATGATTGCTTGGGTGTGTGGGCAACGCGCCAGGGTACTTGTATGCTGGAAAGGCCCTTGGACCTGGTACTTACCTGTGGCCTTGCTTTTGAGGGTTGCAGCGAGGACGTAGCAGTAGGCTATGGCCTCCTAGGGTGGTAGTGGGTAGGTGTGCAGAAGAAGAGAAAAAGCTAGTACCTTAAACCGCAAGTACACGGCCCCAGCCTTGCAGAAAGTTTTTGTTGCCACAAGCAAAACTCAGAGGGGCCGCGCGGCGTGGGGCGCCGTTGGAAAAAAAAATCGGCGGCCTCCGAAGGGGTGCGGGTTTCGTGCTGACACCCGCGGGCCGATGTGTGGTGTACTGGTGCTTTGAGAGGCCGAAGGAATTTCTGAGTCTGGTTGGCTTTGGTCTAGGGGTACCGGTCCAGTAGCCAAGTCTAGGGCCTGTAGCGAAGGGTATTAAACCTGCTATGATGTTCCCTCGGAAACAAGGAAGGTACCGGTAGCTTGGGAGGCCGAGCAGCCTGGAAAGTCAGCGCCCAAGGAGGCAGCTGCCCGGTATATCTTTGGGAAGAGCAATGAGCTCTTCCTCGTTTTGCGGTGTGCAAGTTTGGCGTCACGTTGCTGGAGCAAGTGCTTGGTGTGTCCAGTGCCAGGGAGGAAGAAGGCGGCCTGGCCCCTCCACTCAGCTATCATGAAGTTTGGGCCAGGAAGGAAGCCTCCAGGGTGTAGGAGGAGGAGGAGGAAGACGGTGAGCACGGAGGAGAGTGACGACGGTGCTTTACCTGGCTTTGGTGGTCTGCACCTTCATCTTCTTGGTTGGCGCTGCACCTTGAAAGCCCCAACAGGGGTTGGCGTCATCAAGGGAGACTTTGGGATAGCATTGGTCATGGCGACCAGTATAGGAGGGACACATTGTCTGTGTTGCGGTGCTGTTGCCCTTTGAACATGGGAGAGCAGGGCTCTGTTAGTCCGCCATAGCCAGAGCAGGCAGAAGGTGTAGATGATGGCTATGGCGGACCTCATGAGTTTCTGGCGATAAGGGGGAGATTTGGACATTGGTTCTGGTTCATTCTTTCATTGTTATTGTTATTATTATTATTACAAGTGGACCTGCCGCAGCTACGCTGCGGCGAAGCACGATGACAAAAACATTTTGCGAAACACCCCAGCCATCGATTGGATCCCATCTTTGCAATGTACCCCTACCGGACACTGCCCAACTTTGCAAAATGCCCCTGCGATTGCCAAGTTTCCAGAGGTGCAATTGCAAAAGGCCAAGCCGATTTGCACACCCGCCTGATGGGGGCATAACACAAACATGTCAGCCCAAAAGGCCATTCCACTGTGCACATACCTTTTAGGGACATTTTGACATATATCTCAACTTATGGGGGTATTTGGCAAATAACCCCCCCC